ACTGGAAGTCTTATACTGGTGGGATTGCAATATAGTACAACCACTCTGGAAAACAGTTTGTTAGTTTCTAGCAAAGTTAGTACTACATTTTTTTAAAAAAGATAATTTAAATACCTACTTCACACCATACTCTAAAACAAATTGCTGATGACTGAATGTTAAAATTGAAGCCATAGTATAACACACAGGGATGTACATGTCATAAAAGTACAAATACATTTATGGGAATGATAAATGCTTTCAGGGTGGGGCTTAAGACGGCCAAGCGGTCAGACGCGGTGGCTCACGCCTGTAATTTCAGCACTGTGGGAGGTTGAGGGGGGCAGATCACTTGAGCCCAGGAGTTCAAGACCAGCTTGGCCAACATGGTGAAACCCCGTCTCTACTAAAAATTCGAAAATTAGCCAGGTGTGGTGGTGCATGCCTGTAATCCCAGCTACTCGGGAGACTGAGGCTGGAGAATCGCTTGAACCCGGGAGGAGGAGGTGGCTGTGAGCTGAGATTGCACCATTGCACTCCAGCCTGGGCAGCAAGAGAGAAACTCCGTGTCAGATAATAATAATAATAAATGTTCGCATAGATTTGTTGATAAAAAACAAAACAAACCCAAATTAAAAAGCTATACGACTTCATGACCAAATAGTGAATTGGTTTTATGAAATTAATTCCAATGCACTCAGACAACAGAATGTTTTTGAAAATGTTTAAAATTGTTATGAAAATCTTTACAATCTATTGTTTAATGAAAGAAGGCAGATACAAAGTAGCATGCACAGTATTTTTTTTTAAAGAAAACCCCACATATAGACACATGCAAAAATAAAATACTAGAAAAAATGTAAAACCAAGATTTAATATTGGAAGAGTAGAAATGACTGTATTTAATAGAGAAAGAGTAGAAAATTTAATATAGGAAGAGTAAAAAGTCCAAAGACACAGGATTGTGGGTGACTTTAAAATCCAGTTACTTCCAATCTTCCTATAATGGCATATGTGTAATCCATATATATAATACCTATATGTATTATAACATGCATATAATACATATATATATAATACGTTATATATCACATTTAAATAATATATATAATTTGTAAGTGGGAGGAACAAGGGAGAGCAGATTTACAAAATCCGAAAAGCCAAATGTCCCAGTCTGGGGGAAAAGCCTCGATTTCGGTAATTCCCTGGTTAAAATCAAGAAACACCCTGAACTTCGAAGGCACCACCTGGGTCCCAGGGTGCACAATTCCTCTAATCCCCCAGTTGCAGCAATGTGGGGGATTAGAGGAAAGTCCCTAGAATAAGGATCGGTGCCTCTTTATCCAAAAGATAATCAGCGTCAACAACAACAAAAAATAAACAAAAAGTCCAACTCGGAACCAATACACCATCTGGCTAGCCTGCGAGCTGCCCACTCGGGAGCCGCCCACTCGGGAGCCGAGTCCGCAGCTTAGGACTCAAACCCGGGTTTGGGAGCGTCGGCCGAGATTTGACGGCAGTGACGCGACCTGCCTGTATGTCCCCGCGCTCACAGCTTCCCGGCAAGCCACGAGCTAGTGCTTCCGGGTCACGTCGGCCCAGGAAGGCGCACGCGCGAAGCATCGCCAGCGCCACTTCGCGCTCTTAGGCTGCGTGTGGGGTCCGCAGGTGATCGGGAGCTGCCTGGGTCACAAGAGAAGGCCTATCAGTGACAGCCCCAGAGCGCCTAGGAGCCTTGCGATATCCGGGTGTCTGTAGGCAGCCAGCAGACACCTCCACGCTGAGCTGGAATCGTCCCTCACCGGGCCCTGCCCCTCTAGGGAATGGCAAAGGACATTACGACCTACATTCCTTCCCGGACCTGATGGTTTCAGATTGGCAGATTGTGCCTAAGTGGAAGACTCGTGGTGCTCCTTTGCTTAATTTTTATGGACTCTGTTTTCTTAAGTAGTTCTAATAATCACTGGGAGTTGCGGGTGCGGGAACGTAATTTCTGCGTCTGCCCTTAAACACCATTAACCCTTGGCTGCGTTGCTGCTTTTACGGAATTTCACCAATGATCTGTTATTTTTTAGTTTAAAAAAGATAGCTGGGTAACAGTTTTCATTTAGGTGCTGAAAAGCAATCAGTTCTGCACAACAGCAGATACATATTTTTTTAATGCAGTTTGACTTAATGTGCAGATGACAAGACTGGCTTTGACTTTTTTATTCAAAACACACTAATTTGAATTTGTGGGATTAAATTTAGATATTTCGGGGGTTTCTTTGGTAAGAATACTATTGTTTGTATAGCAAACACTTGTACAAATAAAAGGGTATGTGGCCATTATTTCCTGCCCATACTTGTTTTCTTTATAAAATGTAATTTTTAAACATAATTTGACTTGAAACTGTTTCAATATTTATCTTTTTTTTTTTTTTTTTTTTGAGACGGAGTTTCACTCATGTTACCCAGGCTGGAGTGCAATGGCGCGATCTCGGCTCACCACAACCTCCGCCTCCTGGGTTCAGGCAATTCTCCTGCCTCAGCCTCCTGAGTAGCTGGGATTACAGGCACACACCACCATGCCCAGCTAATTTTTTGTATTTTTGGTAGAGACGGGGTTTCACCATGTTGACCAGGATGGTCTCGATCTCTTGACCTCGTGATCCACCCGCCTCGGCCTCCCAAAGTGCTGGGATTACAGGCTTGAGCCACCGCGCCCGGCCAATTTATCATTTTTTATAGGTGATTCCAGTTCAAAATATTTATAACATTAATATATTGAGAAATTGTCATTGTTGAACAAATTTTTTATGTGCAATCATATGGAATATTTTACATTTAAGGGTGTTTATATATCAAGTATATATATAATCATTGGTAGAAACTGCGCTGGGCATGGTGGCTCACACCTATAATTCCAGCACTTTGAGAGGCTGAGGTGGGTGGATCACCTGAGGTCAGGAGTTCAAGACCAGCCTGGCCAACAGTGAATCCTTCTACTAAAAATACAAAAAGTAGCGAGCATGGTGGCACCCACTTTTAATCTCAGCTACTCAGGAGGCCGAGGTGGGAGAATCACTTGAACCCAGGCGCGGAGGTTGCAGTGAGCCAAGATCATGCCACTGCACTGGAGCCTGGATGACAGAGCCAGATTGTCTCCAAACAAACAAAAAAACAAACAAAACCTAAGAAAGCTATATTGTTTAAACTCTAACATTTCACTACATTTATCCATTCTCAAAAGAACTTGCTAATCACCAGACTGGAAAATCTGTCCTTCCCTGACTTACTATGACTTAATCATAAATGTCTAAATTTGACAAGTGTCCCAGGAGAGAAAACTTAACAAAACTATTCTGTTGCATTTTGTTTAGGTGACATTTGAGATCTGCATGTTATACATAGTAACCTAGTGTTTTGTTTTTTTTTTTTAAGATGGGGTTTCACCATGAAGGTCAGGCTGGTCTTGAACTCCTGACCTCAGGTGATTCACCCACTTCGGCCTCCCAAAGTGCTAGGCGTGAGCCACCGTGCCCGGCAGTAATCTAGTTTTTAATAAAACATGTAGAGACCGAAAAAGTTTTAGCAGTTTAGCTGCTACTTTAGCTGCTTAAAGTAATATATGCATCATCTGCCCCTTTGGTGGTACCAGTGTCCGATTCCATTCTCTGTAGGGTAGTTCATACAAATCTGCTAGTCACTGGAGGAATCAGAAACTAGACACATGGCTAGTCCATCTGGCTGTCTGGTGGCAGCAGAGGAAGAACTGGATTTCCAGGGCAACTGACAGGGTGACAGGACTGGACAGCAGGGAGGAAATCTAGGGAGGTACATAAGATTTAGGTCCAATACAAGCACTGTGCTTTAAATACCATTCTGATTCTCATTTGTGTTTAATCACCTTTATATTTAATATCTATCCATATTGTCTTCTTCCATTTTATTCCTGTAGATTTCTACATTGTATTACATAATATATGCTATCTTTTACTTACTGATTCATTTTATGATGAGTCCAGTGTTTTTACTAACTTAAGGCATCGTCTTTCACCCCAACACCATTCCTCAACTAAGTCTGACTGGTCAAGAATAATCCAGGCCAGGCGTGGTGGCTCACGCCTGTAATCCCAGCACTTTGGGAGGCTAAGGTGAGCAGATGCAAACAGAAAACACTGTATAAATACAGGCCAGGCGTGGTGGCTCACGCCTGTAATCCCAGCACTTTAGGAGGCCAAGGCAGGTGGATCACAAGGTCAGGAGTTCAAGACCAGACAGGCCAAGACAGAGAAACCCTGTTTCTACTAAAAATACAAAAAAAGTTAGCTGGGCATGGTGGTGGGCACCTGTAAGCCCAGCCACTCAGGAGGCTGAGGCAGAGAATTGCTTGAACCTGGGAGACAGAGGAGGTTGCAGTGAGCTGAGACAGCACCACTGCACTCCAGCCTGGGCGAAACAGCAAGACTCCATCTCAAAANAAAAAAAAAAAAAAAAAAAAAAAAAAAAAAAAAAAAAAAAAAAAAAAAAAAAAAAAAAAAAAAAAAATTATCCAACACCTGGTGCCAACCTGAGTGCTAGTATTATTAGTAAATAATGAATGCTATTTATTATACTAAGTGCTATTTGTTAGTAAATAATAAACGTTTTTGGAACTGATTTATAGAGGGCCTCAAAAACCAGGTAGTGTGTTTATTTAATGCTAGGTCAATTTGGCAAAAATAAATGCACAGAAAGCCATTTCCAAGACAAAAAAATGTCAGAATACAATTTGCTAAATTTTCTAAATTACTAATTTGATGAACTGTTGAGACTTGTTAAAAAAGTTCGGGCCCTACTCATGCCTCAGCCTTGTGTAAGGGAAGCCCAGGAGCAGGGCAGAGCATGAGCATACAAAAATAGAGATGAACTGCAAACTCCACTTCAGAAAAACTTCACCTATTTGTATATCAAAAGGCTGGGGTAAATGCAAAACTAAATCTCTGAAACACTATGTTTGACAAACTAGCTTTCAACTGCTAGTAAAAAAAGCCTAAAAATTAAACAAAACTGGTTTTATTTCATAAGACATCTAGAGATAGGCAGCAGCTGGTGTTGGGTCAGCAGCTCAACAATGTGGCAACCGGCATGTTCTTGGTTCTCTTCGCCCTTCCTTCTGTTCTGGTTCAAAGAACTCCTCCAGCTCCAGCCATCACTTTGGTGTTTACGGCATCATGAAGGGGAAGAGGAGGCCTAGCTGCATATATATCTTTAATCAGGAAGCAGAAGTTTTCTGAGAAATCCCAAGGCCAAAGCTGTTTTCTGAGGCCACTGATAGTTGCTAGTTGCAACAGAGGCTGAAAGGGGGCAATTAGCTTTTCTGAAGGGTTCTTCAGTGGAGGCAGGTAAGCAAAGAGTGGGTTGGGAATGGCTGGCAAATTGGAGCACCAACATTACCTTTGTGGATAATAAATTTCTTTTCAAAATGGGCAACTGATATGTGAAGAAATACCTAACAACAATTTTAAGGTTAGAATTTGAAACTCAGTTCTGCTTTCAATCATGATATTTTTAACAGACGCATTTCAGCTATACTGCTTTTTCCTTGTCCCCCACTCCCCAACATTCTAGAATGGAACTAAAATAAAATTACTTACTCTTTCAAGAAAAAGGGGGGGAGGAAGCAAAAGGTCAACAGTGATAAGATAGTTTCAACTACTCTTTTGCTGTCATTGTCCTTCTACACCAAAGAACATCTGGAAAACATCCCCACATGCTTTGGCATTTAAGAACTGATACAGCTGACCGAAGTCCATGTGGTTTCCCCTGGCTCCATTAACACTGAACACTTTTTCTTCAAAAATGGAAAATTTCCTTTGTCTTTCCATTTCATCATTTGTACCATCAAAAGGAATGTCTTCTCGATGGCGAACTAAAATTCTCTTCCAGTTCAATTTTCTGAGTCTGAAAAGAAATTTCCAAAGTAAACATTTTCAAAATGTTTACTAGGGCACTTAAAACAGAAGTTATAAAACAGACTTATCAATGCCTTTTCTTAGAAGTAGTCTACTTTTTACTTTTTTAAAAATAACCTTATTTATTTATTTAGTAGAGACAGGTCTTGCTGTATTGCCTATGCTGGTTTCAAACTCCTGGCTTCAAGTGATACTCCTGCCTCAGCCTCCAAAAATGCTGGGATAACAGGTGTGAGTCATCATGCCCTGCCAAGAAGTCTACTTTTATCTCACAGGGATTTATTTTAATCATATGTGATTCTGGTCATAATCCCATCCCTAAATTTATTTGTTGCCATTACTATGGCCTTGTATCAGTATTTTAGAAATGTAGGAATTACTGAATCCCAAACTACTAATGGACCTTCTCAGAAATTCATTTAGGATATCAGTAAAGAAATGAGAAGACTAGTGGCAATTCTAATGCTTCTAGAAAGCCCCTTACTTCATAGGGTATCCAGTTTGAAGCATCACTAAGATGAAGGAAGAAGCAGATCCATGGAAGTGGATGGGGTCATAGTGACTTGGGCAGGGGCTCAATTCATTCAGCGTATAATTTCAGAATGTCTCCTACACGCACTTGTCAGGTGAGGGGGAAAATGCTGACTACATGTGATTTCTGCCGTATCCACCAACTTGAGAATGAATCCGTACTTACATCCACATCTTTAATACAGTCATGTGTTGCTTAATAGGGAGACATTCTGAGAAATGCATCTTCAGGCTGTTTTGTTGTTGTACCACCACGATACAGTGTACTCACACAAACCTAGATGGTACTTTTTTTTTTAATTTATATTTTTTCATGTGGAAAACCAAATGTCCCAGCACCATTACTGAATATCACTCTGATACTCAATAGTGGGAAGATCAAGTGCCATGTATCAGGTTTCTATATGTGCTCCATTATAATCTTATGGTACCACTGTTTGATGTGTGGTCCATTGTTGACCAAAACGTCACTAGGCAGCACATGACTGTATCTTGTTTAGTATTAAAATGATTGACATGACTTTACAAACGTATGTGAAAGCAAACCTTGACCAGAATTCTTCACAGGCACTTTGTGGGCCTTCCACACAAACAACACCAGGTTTTCCAGGCATACTAAACCCAGACAGGGAAAGCTCCTTTGCCCACTCTAGAATATTCTTTCTTTTGCATTTGTTATAGATATGATGGCTGTAGATCCAGAGTCTCGTGAAGATGAGGTCGATTGACTGGACTGTACTTCCTGTGGTGGGTGAAGATGAAGAATCTCTGCTGACATAGCTAGCAGCGTGTTCTCTAACCCACTCTGTGGCATTCAGTATACAAACATCTCCATGACAATGTTTTTGCAAGAATGCAGTCAGATCTGTGTTCAGCTGAGTCTGCTGGGATCTACTCAATAATACTGATCTAATAGAAAAGATATAAGAAAAAAATTATGTTGGAACAGAAGACAAACTCAAGAATTGCTTTTATTTTCAGCTTAATTTTGACCTCTCAAGTTGGCCAGAACTTCTGTAACGTACCTGACAGTAATTTCAGGCAGAACTGCCGGGTATTTAAAGGGAAGAATACAGGCCAGAGAAAACATCGCCTGATTAAAGAGAAGAAGAAATAGTGCACTAACCAATGTTTGAAGTCTCAACATGTTTCAATCCTTTCAAAAGCAAAATTGAATTACCATTGTTTCCTCAGATACATCCAGGTTCATATTGATAGTAAAGTAAACTTTTGAAGATCGCCCCTCCATTGTCTTCTTTTCAATACAATCTTTCAGTTCTGCTACAGCCAGCTGGTCATTCACTATGAGCTCATTCTCACCAGGGAACATACTGGCTAGCAGGTCTAACTCAGCAAGCTGGGCCTCCGCCTGCTCTATCTCAATCATTTTTGGACATCTGTAAGTTTCTAAGGAGGTAAAGATAACAGACTATTTACATATGCAATCTTGGAAGAATTCAATAGATCAACATAAGTACTAAAATTATATTTGATTTCTTCATAAATTGTACAATTTAATTAGTCTCTTTCCCCTTTACTCTACTTTCAGATATAATATGCTAAGTCTTATGCTAAGACCAGCCTGGGCAACATATTGAGACCATCTCTATAAAAAAACAAAAAACAAAAAACCTCTTAATAGTAAGTAGACACCACATTCCTCTGTGTCTAGACAGTTGAAAGGACATTTTGAGCTACCATAATGGGCAATTTCATCAAAGTAAACCAATTATGCAGTCAAAAAGCTGTATTGATAATTTAGCCAGAAGAGAGGCTATGACTGGTTACATTGGAAAACCAGAATGAACAGAATAAGTCAGAGAGTGGTTATGTGGATGGCCAATTTCTTCTTTTTAAGTATATATTAATGTTTATTAGTTTTGATTTTTTTTTTTTGAGACAGGGTCTACCTCTGTCACCCCAGCTGTAGTCCAGTGGCATGATCCCAGCTCACTGCAGCCTTAACTTCCCACACTCAAGCAATCCTTCCACCTCAGACTTCTGAGTAGCTGGGACCACAGGTATGCACTGCCAGCTACATTTTTTATTTGTAGAAACAAGGTCTTGCTATGTTGCCCAGGCTGGTCTTGACCCCCTCGACTCAAGCAATCCTTCCACCTCAGCCTCCCAAAGTGCTAGCATTACAGGCGTCAGCCACTGTGCCTGACATTTATTCGTTTTTAAGAAGCAGAAGAACATAAAGAGAAAAATAAACGCTTATTGTCCCGTAGCTTAAGTAACCCCTGTTAACATGAAAACATTTTAGGCATTATACATATACATATATGGGAAATGCTGGTATAATGTATAAATAATATACAATGTGAGATATATTACAGTATATATATTTAAAATGTATCCGAAGCATATATGATGTACTTTTTCCTCCTATTTCCTATCTCCCTCTCCACCAAATATATTTTGTAGCTCTATTCACTGTCAACATATAGTGATCTACCTCATTCTTTGTAATTGTTGCCTGTTACACTGAATCATATAGATATGCCATAACTTATTTCTTTACCTATTGATGGGCATTTGGGTTGTTTCCATATTTTTACTAATATGAACAATTCCATAATGCAAGTTCTTTTTATATATACCGTATGGTAAACTGAATACTGTGTATTCAAGAATAAACTTATAAAGGTGGATTGTTGGAGTGACAGGTACATTTTTAATTTTGACAGATATTGCCAAGTTGCTTTCTAGAAAGTTGCCATACAGAAGTTTAAAACTGTCCCCAGTCCCCTGATTTTCTTTAAAAATTCTTAACACATAGTTCCTTTTGGCCTAGCACAGTGGTTCACACCTATAATCTGAGCACTTTGGGAGGCTGAGGAGGGCGGATGGCTTGAGTCCAGTTCAAAACCAGCCAGGGCAACATAGCGAAACCCTGTCTCTACTAAAAAATAATAAAAAAAAAAAATTACCTGGGTGTGGTGGTACATGCCTGTAGTCCCAGCTACTTGAGAGGCTGAGGTGAGAGGATTACTTGAGCCTGGGAGGTGGAAGTTGCAGTGAGACTAAATCATATCACTGCACTCCAGCCTGGGTGACAGAGCAAGACTGTCTCAAAAAAAACACACACACACAAAAGACCCTAAACCATAGTTCCTTTTATCAATCTCTTCTTTTATAGATTTCAAGCTGTATGTCCTTTTTTTTTTTTGAGACAGAGTCTTGCTTTGTCGCCCAGGCTGGAATGCAGTGGTGCGATCTCAGCTCACTGCAACCTCTGCCTTCCAGACTCAAACAATTCTCCTGCCTGAGCCTCCCAAGTATCTGGGATTACAGGCACAGGCCACCATGCCCAGCTAATTTTTTGTATTTTTAGTAGAGAGTAGAGGCAGGATATCATCATGTTGGCCAGGCTGGTCTTAAACTCCTGACAGGTGATCTACCTGGCTTGGCCTCCCAAAGTGCTAGGATTATAGGTGTAAGCCACTGTGCCGGGCCGTAACTGGTTTAGTATTTATCCTAGACAAAAGCAATCCTAATTGGGCGACAGATTATATGGGCACAATTCTTTTTTTTTTGAGATGGAGTCTGATTCTGTTGCCCAGGCTGGAGTGCAGTGGCATGATCTCGGCTCACTGCAACCTCCGCCTCCTGGGTTCAAGCGATTCTGCCTCAGCCTCCCAAGTACCTGAGATTACAGATGGGGTACTTGGCCAAGCTGGTCTTCAACTCCTGACCTCATGATCCACCCGCCTTGGCCTCCCAAAGTGCTGGGATTACAGGAGTGAGCCACTGTGCCTAACCTGGGCACAATTCTTATTTGTGACTTCTCAGAGTCTTGTTAGATCCCAGTATGCACTGTGAATTTCCAAGAGGGGTGTTCAGTATGTCTGACTCCTGAACATGATCTTCCAGACCAAATGACATTAGCCCTCCTTTCCACAGAACAGAGCAGAATCCCTTGCTTTGCCATGTAGTCACCTGATTTTAAGTAGTTTAAATATAAGCATCTTCAGAGAAGATGGTGGGTAGTTTTGGTAATATTCATACATATATTAATAATATATATTAATATATTAATTAATGTCTATTAATGTTTAATTTGAAGTTTTCCTTTTCTAATAACTGTTGGAGCTGCAACATTCCTCCTTTAATCACAATGTTTTTTCTTTTTGAGACAGAGTTTTGCTCTTGTTGCCCAGGCTGGAGTGAAATGGTGTATTCTAGGCTCACTGCAACCTCTGCCTCCCAGGTTTAAGTGATTCTCCTGCCTCAGCCTCCCAAGTAGCTGGGACTACAGGCACACACCACCATGCCCAGCTAATTTTTTGTAGTTTTAGTAGAGACGGGGTTTCACCATGTTGACCAGGATGGTCTCGATCTCTTGACCTCGTGATCCACCCGCCTCGGCCTCCCAAAGTGCTGGGATTACAGGCTTGAGCCACCGCGCCCGG